ATTACGACTAAGAAAATAGTAGCAGCAGCCTTCAAGAATTCTCTGTAAACAGTTTTCACCCCATACAGAATGAAGGAGCTATTACTTAACAAAATTAGCTACAGAAAGTGACTACCGATGAAATTGAAAATCAAAATTTTCCTGCGGGTAATGATTTGAAAGCATGAGATCTTTATTAGACAATATTATATAAGAAAACTTTGCAATAGAACCATACTAGAAGTTTAGTGACAGAAGATTTTGACCCGGAAACTTAAAATTTCTCGATCAGAAATTTTTTAATCAAGTCCGTACACTTGCACTCTACCAGCGAATTTTTTTTTTTTGGACTGATCAATAAATCTCAATCTAAGTTGCCAACTTTTCAAAACTAGTTGTAACTGGAGTAACTAAAGATACAGAGCAATGGGTTTACAAAGCATGAATTCAAAACTAGTTGTAACTGGAGTAACTAAAGTTTTTTTTGGACTGATCAACAAAAACTCAAAACTACTGCTGCACCAGTTGAATTCATGGGTTTACAAAGCATGAAATTTCAATGTAAAACTATAATTGGAAAAGTGACGGTGGAAAGCAGCAAACTTGCAATTTCGAAAAGGAAGATTTGATTAACTTAAACCTCAAAATCAAAATCAACTAGAGGATACTATCAAACCTAACATTTACTATTGATCAACCCAATCGCTCAACCATAAGAAAACAAATAAGAACGAGGAAGGTAAGGAATCAGACTTACCCGTCAGAAAATTTTCAGCGAACAAACCGATTGAATAAGGTAGAACGGTAGAAGGCTATGGCGGCCAGAATAGCAAAAACAAAGCCCTGGGATGTCTTTTATACTTTAACTAAGGAAAGGTCCAATTCATCTAAGTAAAAAAAATAAATTGGTGAATGGTTTGGGCCAAAAAAAGAACGGAGTAATTGATTGGGTCTCTGGTTATGTTAAAAAAAAATTTATACCGGAGCTATATAAAAAAATAATCCCTTTCAAAATAAACTGATTAAACTATACTCCGTAGAGCATTATTTAATTATTATTCATTTATGATTTCTGGAGCTTATCGGTCAACGTTACCTGCCAAGGCAACACTCGATCAAACAATAAATCACATTATTCATAACGAAAACTTATTTAGCTGACTAAAATAATAATAACTAATTATTAAATAATTAGCTCATAAAAAAAAATCGGGGTGTTACAACCCCTCCCACCTTATAAAAGTTTCGTCCTCGAAACTTAGAACAACTCAGGATAACGACGTCTCATGTCATCCTCAACCTCCCAAGTAGCTTCTTCAAATTTCTTATTTCGCCACAGTACTTTTACTAGAGCTATCTCTTTGTTCCGAAGACGTCTAACCTCACGATCAAGAATTTGTACTGGCTTCTCCTCGTAAGACAAATCATTTTGCACTTCTACTGTTGGAGGTATCAAAACATGCTCCGGATCAGCAAAGTATTTTCTCAACATCGAAACATGGAAGACATTATGAATGCCAGAAAACTCTTCAGGTAGCGCGAGCTCATAAGCTACCTTCCCAACTCGTCGGGTGATCTCATACGGTCCGGTGAATCTGGGGCAAAGCTTCCCTTTCTTCCCAAATCGCATCACGCCCTTCATCGGGGCTATCTTGACAAAAACAAAATCACCCACTTCGAATTCTAGAGGTCTCCTTCGAACATCTGCATAACTCTTCTGTCTGCACTGGGCAGATTCTATCCTTTGTCGGATACTCTTAATAGCTTCTGAGGTCTCATCTATCAACTCAGTCCTTCCTTGTAATTCTTCTTCTAGAACCTTCTTTTCTCCCGTTTCATACCATGATATGGGAGATCTACATCTCCTCCCATACAACGCCTCATATGGAGCCATGCCGATTGTTGCTTGATAACTATTATTATAAGCAAACTCCGCCAAACTAAGGTATTTTGCCCATCCTCCTTGAAAATCTATAGTGCATGCCCGTAACATATCCTCTAAAATCTGATTTGTCCTCTCCGTCTGGCCATCTGTCTGCGGATGAAAAGCAGTACTAAACTTCAACTTCGTGCCCAATGATTGTTGTACACACTTCCAAAAGTGAGAGGTAAATCTGGAATCTCTGTCTGAAATAATACTCTTCGGAACGCCATGCAATCTAACAATCTCCTGTATATATATATTTGCCAACTTCTCCAAAGAAATACTTGCTGAAATTGGGATAAAATGAGCAGATTTAGTCAATCTGTCCACTATAACCCATATAGCGTCATAACCTCCAGTTGTCTTCGGCAAACCCATAATAAAATCCATTGATATCTCATCCCATTTCCACTCTGGAATCTGGATAGGCTGAAGTTCTCCACCTGGTCTTTGATGTTCAGCCTTAACTTGTTGACACGTCAAACATGCCTGAACGAACTTTGCAACATCTTTCTTCATCCCTGACCACCAAAAGTTTTTCTTCAAGTCGTGGTACATCTTGGTCGAACCAGGATGCATAGTGAATGGTGTCTCGTGAGCCTCCTTCAAAATCTGCCTCCTCAACCCTTCAATGTCTGGGATGCACAACCTATTATGGAGTAATAATCTTCCACTCTGATCCACACGGAATTCGGGACATTTTCCCTCCTTGACACACTCCTTCAACTTAACTAACTCAGGATCAAGTTCTTGCTTCATAGCCATGTCCTCAAATACTGATGGAGTCACTGTCATAGCTGCTAGTCGCCCACCTACTACAATCTCCAACTCAAAATCTTCAATTTCCTTCCTCAGCCTTGGATCCATTACCATCATGGACATTACTGTTGCAGAAGACTTCCTACTAAGTGCATCTGCTACCTTGTTGGCTTTCCCCGGATGATAGAGGATCTCACAATCGTAGTCTTTCACTAACTCAAGCCACCTTCTTTGCCTCATGTTGAGGTCTTTCTGTGTGAATATGTATTTCAGACTTTTATGATCAGTGAAGATCTTACACTGGACTCCATACAAGTAATGTCTCCAAATCTTCAACGCATGTATCACTGCTGCCAACTCCAAGTCATGAGTAGGATAATTCGCTTCATAGTCTTTGAGTTGTCGAGACGCATACGCAATAACTCGTTCATTCTGCATAAGAACTGCTCCAAGTCCCATCTTCGATGCGTCTGTGTAGATAACAAACCCTTCTTTGCCTTCTGGGAGTGCTAAAACGGGTGCAGATGTCAACCTATCTTTCAGCTCTTGGAAACTCTTCTCACAACGATCAGTCCACTCAAATTTCTTACCCTTACGGGTCAAGGTAGTCAATGGAAGAGCTATGGCAGAGAAGCCTTCTACAAACTTCGTATAATACCCCGCAAGGCCTAAGAAACTTCGAACTTCTTTCGAATTCTTCGGCCTGCTCCAATCTCGGACAGCTGCTACTTTCGAGGGATCCACCGAAACTCCCTGCTTTGAAACTACGTGGCCAAGGAATGCTACATGATCAAGCCAGAATTCACACTTTGAAAACTTAGCATATAGCTTATGTTTTCTCAGTGTCTCCAGTACTTCTCTCAAGTGTTTTTCATGCTCCTCCTTGGACTCTGAGTAGATCAAAATATCATCAATGAAAATAATGACAAACTTGTCAAGAAACTCCCTGAACACTCTATTCATCAAATCCATGAACGCCGCTGGAGCATTAGTCAGGCCGAAAGGCATAACCACAAATTCATAGTGTCCATACCGCGACCTGAAAGCTGTTTTTGGGATGTCACCTTCCTTGATTCTTAGCTGATGATACCCTGAACGAAGGTCGATCTTGGAGAAAATCACCGCTCCCTTCAACTGGTCAAACAGGTCATCAATTCTAGGCAGGGGATACCTATTCTTGATAGTCACTTTATTGAGCTCTCTATAATCTATGCACAACCTCATTGTGCCATCCTTCTTTTTCACGAACAATACTGGAGCCCCCCACGGTGAGTAACTGGGCCGAATGAAACCCTTCTCTAACAACTCCTGCAACTGTTTGTGGAGTTCTTGTAACTCCACTGGGGCCATTCGATATGGTGCTCTAGATATTGGGGCAGTACCAGGCAGCAGCTCAATCTCGAACTCAATCTCTCTACTCGGTGGTAGTCCAGGAAGATCTTCAGGAAAAACATCACTGTAACTCTCTACAACTGGAACTTCAGATAACTGAATGGGTTCTCCAGTGCTCTTGTCTACTATGTGAGCTAAGAAAGCTTCACATCCACTCCGAATAAGTCTCCTTGCTTGCAATGCAGAAATCATCACCTTCCCTGATCCCTTTGGCTCCCCAAGAAACAAGAAAGGATTAGACCCTGCAGGCGCAAAACTAACAATTCTTTTTCAGCATATATTTGAAGCACTATACTTCTGCAGAAAATCCATGCCGAGAATCACGTCATAATCTCTCATATCAAGCACGATCAGATCCACAAATAACTCTCTCCCTGCAATACTCATTGGCACTGCTCGTAACCAATGAGTCGACAACAAGATCTCTCCTGACGGAAGTGCTGTGGTGAACTTACAATCTAACTTATCTTGATGTGCTGCTAACGATCTAGCAAACTCAAGAGATACAAAGGAATGTGTGGCTCCAGTGTCAAATAGCACATTAGCGTATCTATTAAGAACAAGTATCTGACCTGTGACAACACCGGGATTTATCGATGCCTCCTCTTTCGAGATTGTGAACACTCTAGCAACCGGAGCCTCTGGTGGTGCCTCAAGACGCCCTTGCTGGATGGATGGTCCTTCTAGATAAGCCTGCATATTATGGACAGCCGCTGAAGGTGTTGGATTTCTTGGCATGTGAGTGATCTGGTAGTTTTGCTGATTCTTTCTTGGACAATCTCTCGACATATGGCCCTCAAGACCGCAAGTGTAACAAGCTCTAGAACCCAATCTGCATTGGCCTGGATGATTACGGCCACAATTTGCACACTGTGGGAATTTCATCTGTTTATTTTGGTGTCCCTGATGGTGACCATCTCCTTTTCCATCATTGCCCGTGAAGTTTCTCTTCTTGTTACTCTTCGAATTGTTCATGTGTCGTTGTGACTGATTCTGTGACTGTGAAGGCACAGGCTGCGGCTGAGCGGGTACTGGACCGCTAGAGATGTAGTACTCCTTTTGAGTTGCTATAAAAACACAGTCAGCTAGTGTAGCTGGAGTCTGATTGCCATTCTCCAAGTGAACTGCTATATCCTTCCTAAGAGCTGCCAGGAACATCCTCACCTTATCTCTTTCCGTCGGGGCAGCTGTAGGACAAATACGTAGCAGCCTCTGAAATTTTGCCGCCAAGGTTGTAACATCCATGGTTCCCTGGCGTAGACTCTGAAGCTCATCCCGGTACCTACGTGTGACACTAGCGTTGAAATACTGGTTGGTGAACTCCTCTTTGAACTGCTCCCATGTCATCTGCGTGATGTTGTACCTTGTTTCCACAGTCTCCCACCATATTCGAGCATCCATGGTGAGGCTGTAGGATGCACATCGAACCTTGTCATTATCTGCTAGTTCCAACCCATTAGCAATGCCTTCCACGGTCTTCAGCCATCCCTGAGCAGCTAGAGGGTCTGGACCCCCCTCGAAATCTGTGGGCTTGATCTTCCTCCATGTGATCATCAACGGTTCTTGTCTCGGTGCTCCATGCCCCCTAGCATGATTATTTCCAGCATTTCTCCCTTCACCACCGCCCCTTTGATTGTTCGCGGTCAAACGGTCGATGGTTTGTTGCTGCTCCTGCAACTGCCTCTGAAGTTGCGCTACTAGTCCTGCCAAATCCTGCTCGTGATTGTTTCCTTGCTCATTGTTGCTACCAACTGGACGACCACGGGTTCTCCTCATTTTCTTAAGGCACCTAAATATAAACTTTTATTTATGTGCCATACACAATACAAAAGGCAAAACATTCTCACTTCTGTTCTCTATCTAATAAAACTCTTCTTGCTCAAGCACAGAAATTTAAAACTAACTTTAAATACTTACTTGGAAGATGATGAGCACGTGTACGGTGACAAATGAAGTTACGGGACAACCCGGGCTCTGATACCAAATTTGTAACGCCCCTCTCAGGGTTAAAGGAAACGTTACATAAACTTACTACTTTAAAAAAAACTGCAATATAATTGCCGTTTGTTTAAGAAATAACCCTGATAAAAACTCAAATATAACTAAAATATAACTCCAAATAAAAACTCAAAAAAATTTTTAGTTATCACCAGTAAATGTGATAACCACCTAGATCCAGGAATTTACTAAAACTTCAAAACCTCAAATAAAATAGAGTAATAATAATCACTTTAAAATAACATCTGAAATACTAAAAAAAAAATAACTAGCTAGAAGCCGCCAAGGTCGTTCCCGTTAACTCATCTTGGCACGCGTTCCACTCCCTCATCATCTTCCTAGGCCTTGGCCTTACCCTTAGTATCTGTACATGCGAAGAAAGAAAACTGATAAGCTTTACGCTTAGTAAGTCACTATGAATCCACAAAATATCTGAGAAGTCTATGCTAATTTATCAATAGATAATTTAGGCTATAAGCGTGCACTAAACAAATGACTAACAAATAGTTTCTCAAATAAATTCTGAGAGAGATACCAAAACAAAATATTTTCTAAAATAATTTCTCAAAACTACTAGAGAGATCTCAAAATTTCTTTCTCAAAACATCTCTGTAAAACTTTCTGAAAGAGATCTCAAAAACAATTTTCTGTAAAACTTTCTGAGAGATCTCATAAACTTTACCGTAAAACTCTTTGTGGCTAATTTTAACTGTGGGCCCGTGATATGTACTCAAATGCGCCAATCCGAAAGCTCAGGGGAGCGACCCACTAAACATATCAGACTCTCTGAAACTGATAAACTGATAATCTGAGGGAACTTGTTCCCGAGTACATATCACCCGATCTTTCACTTTAAATATTAGTTCTTTTTATAGTGACGTTTGGGTTAAAAACATCATTAAAATCTTGAAATAAAGTACTGACATAATCTTGACTATGCCAGATAATAAACATAACTTAATACAACAATTACAATAACTCATCAAATAATTCACCAAGTTCACATAATAGCAAATAGTCTAAAATCATCTACTAAAAATCAACCAGACTTCTTTCTTTCATTTGGTTGAACAAACATGTACAGGTGGTAGTGAACTTACTTGTTAATAGATGAACTCAAATTACTCAAACAAGTGTGGCACGCCTTGATAACGTCTTCCGATAAACTCTTCCTTCAAATCTTTAATTAGATATAATAAGATAATTATTGATTTGATGTCTTAAACCATGTGAAATCCCATGTCTCATAAACTAAGGTAAATTAACTAACCAGTAAGTTAGAGTAAAACTTTTAAAAGAAAATGAACTTGGTTGATTATTACGACTAAAAAAATAGTAGCAGCAGCCTTCAAGAATTCTCTGTAAACAGTTTTCACCCCATTCAGAATGAAGGAGATATTACTTAACAAAATTAGCTACAGAAAGTGACTACCGATGAAATTGAAAATCAAAATTTTCCTGCGGGTAATGATTTGAAAGCATGAGATCTTTATTAGACAATATTATATAAGAAAACTTTGCAATAGAGCCATACTAGAAGTTTAGTGACAGAAGATTTTGACCCGGAAACTTAAAATTTCTCGATCAGAAATTTTTTAATCAAGTCCGTACACTTGCACTCTACCAGCGAAATTTTTTTTTTTGGACTGATCAATAAATCTCAATCTAAGTTGCCAACTTTTGAAAACTAGTTGTAACTGGAGTAACTAAAGATACAGAGCAATGGACCTACAACAAAAACTCAAAACTATTGCTGCACCAGTTGAATTCATGGGTTTACAAAGCATGAAATTTCAATGTAAAACTATAATTGGAAAAGTGACGGTGGAAAGCAGCAAACTTGCAATTTCGAAAAGGAAGATTTGATTAACTTAAACCTCAAAATCAAAATCAACTAGAGGATACTATCAAACCTACATTTACTATTGATCAACCCAATCGCTCAACCATAAGAAAACAAATAAGAACGAGGAAGGTAAGGAATCAGACTTACCCGTCAGAAAATTTTCAGCGAAGAAACCGATTGAATAAGGTAGAACGGTAGAAGGCTATGGCGGCCAGAATAGCAAAAACAAAGCCCTGGGATGTCTTTTATACTTTAACTAAGGAAAGGTCCAATTCATCTAAGTAAAAAAAATAAATTGGTGAATGGTTTGGGCCAAAAAAAGAACGGAGTAATTGATTGGGTCTCTGGTTATGTTAAAAAAAAATTTATACCGGAGCTATATAAAAAAATAATCCCTTTCAAAATAAACTGATTAAACTATACTCCGTAGAGCATTATTTAATTATTATTCATTTATGATTTCTGGAGCTTATCGGTCAACGTTACCTTCCAAGGCAACACTCGATCAAACAATAAATCACATTATTCATAACGAAAACTTATTTAGCTGACTAAAATAATAATAACTAATTATTAAATAATTAGCTCATAAAAAAAAATCGGGGTGTTACAACCCCTCCCACCTTATAAAAGTTTCGTCCTCGAAACTTAGAACAACTCAGGATAACGACGTCTCATGTCATCCTCAACCTCCCAAATAGCTTCTTCAAATTTCTGATTTCGCCACAGTACTTTTACTAGAGCTATCTCTTTGTTCCGAAGACGTCTAACCTCACGATCAAGAATTTGTACTGGCTTCTCCTCGTAAGACAAATCATTTTGCACTTCTACTGTTGGAGGTATCAAAACATGCTCCGGATCAGCAAAGTATTTTCTCAACATCGAAACATGGAAGACATTATGAATGCCATAAAACTCTTCAGGTAGCGCGAGCTCATAAGCTACCTTCCCAACTCGTCAGGTGATCTAATACGGTCCGGTGAATCTGGGGCTAAGATTCCCTTTCTTCCCAAATCGCATCACGCCCTTCATCGGGGCTATCTTGACAAAAACAAAATCACCCACTTCGAATTCTAGAGGTCTCCTTCGAACATCTGCATAACTCTTCTGTCTGCACTGGGCAGATTCTATCCTTTGTCGGATACTCTTAATAGCTTCTGAGGTCTCATCTATCAACTCAGTCCTTCCTTGTAATTCTTCTTCTAGAACCTTCTTTTCTCCCGTTTCATACCATGATATGGGAGATCTACATCTCCTCCCATACAACGCCTCATATGGAGCCATGCCGATTGTTGCTTGATAACTATTATTATAAGCAAACTCCGCCAAACTAAGGTATTTTGCCCATCCTCCTTGAAAATCTATAGTGCATGCCCGTAACATATCCTCTAAAATCTGATTTGTCCTCTCCGTCTGGCCATCTGTCTGCGGATGAAAAGCAGTACTAAACTTCAACTTCGTGCCCAATGATTGTTGTACACACTTCCAAAAGTGAGAGGTAAATCTGGAATCTCTGTCTGAAATAATACTCTTCGGAACGCCATGCAATCTAACAATCTCCTGTATATATATATTTGCCAACTTCTCCAAAGAAATACTTGCTGAAATTGGGATAAAATGAGCAGATTTAGTCAATCTGTCCACTATAACCCATATAGCGTCATAACCTCCAGTTGTCTTCGGCAAACCCATAATAAAATCCATTGATATCTCATCCCATTTCCACTCTGGAATCTGGATAGGCTGAAGTTCTCCACCTGGTCTTTGATGTTCAGCCTTAACTTGTTGACACGTCAAACATGCCTGAACGAACTTTGCAACATCTTTCTTCATCCCTGACCACCAAAAGTTTTTCTTCAAGTCGTGGTACATCTTGGTCGAACCAGGATGCATAGTGAATGGTGTCTCGTGAGCCTCCTTCAAAATCTGCCTCCTCAACCCTTCAATGTCTGGGATGCACAACCTATTATGGAGTAATAATCTTCCACTCTGATCCACACGGAATTCGGGACATTTTCCCTCCTTGACACACTCCTTCAACTTAACTAACTCAGGATCAAGTTCTTGCTTCATAGCCATGTCCTCAAATACTGATGGAGTCACTGTCATAGCTGCTAGTCGCCCACCTACTACAATCTCCAACTCAAAATCTTCAATTTCCTTCCTCAGCCTTGGATCCATTACCATCATGGACATTACTGTTGCAGAAGACTTCCTACTAAGTGCATCTGCTACCTTGTTGGCTTTCCCCGGATGATAGAGGATCTCACAATCGTAGTCTTTCACTAACTCAAGCCACCTTCTTTGCCTCATGTTGAGGTCTTTCTGTGTGAATATGTATTTCAGACTTTTATGATCAGTGAAGATCTTACACTGGACTCCATACAAGTAATGTCTCCAAATCTTCAACGCATGTATCACTGCTGCCAACTCCAAGTCATGAGTAGGATAATTCGCTTCATAGTCTTTGAGTTGTCGAGACGCATACGCAATAACTCGTTCATTCTGCATAAGAACTGCTCCAAGTCCCATCTTCGATGCGTCTGTGTAGATAACAAACCCTTCTTTGCCTTCTGGGAGTGCTAAAACGGGTGCAGATGTCAACCTATCTTTCAGCTCTTGGAAACTCTTCTCACAACGATCAGTCCACTCAAATTTCTTACCCTTACGGGTCAAGGTAGTCAATGGAAGAGCTATGGCAGAGAAGCCTTCTACAAACTTCGTATAATACCCCGCAAGGCCTAAGAAACTTCGAACTTCTTTCGAATTCTTCGGCCTGCTCCAATCTCGGACAGCTGCTACTTTCGAGGGATCCACCGAAACTCCCTGCTTTGAAACTACGTGGCCAAGGAATGCTACATGATCAAG